GGTATGGGCGGTGGGTGTGGCGTAGTGTGAGTGGTGTGTGTAGCATGGTATGGGCGGTGGGTGTGGCGTAGTGTGAGTGGTGTGTGGCAAGGAGGCAGCTGCCCCCAAGATTTTAGAGCAAAATTAAAAAATAGAAATTGTTCTACTAAAACGAGAATGACCATAGTCAGAATGAAGACTGTACATGCATGCACTCAAAGGTGCCTCAAATACCATCTCCTGCGAATTACATTTTCAAAATTTTCTGTGGGATGACCCCCAGACCCCCCACCTGTTTCTTACCTCTCCTTGAAATCCTGGATCCGCCACTGCCTCTCCCCCCCCCCTAGGAATTTGTTCAGCCTACGGCCCTAACCGGAGCAAAGGACTACGCATGTAGAGTCACGGTGAGTGTGAACTGTGGGTTGTGCACAGCCCCGTAGCACGAGCGAAGGGCTGGCTACATAGTCCAGTTGCCAAAATATTGACCCTGCAATGTGAATTACTCTAAACTTTTTTCATGGAAATGTGTTCTATATAGTTAGGAGAGCTGAATTAGCTTGGTTGCTACCTGTGCATCGTTGAGCATTGCTTGGAATTCAAGATGACCGCCTCCGTTCATCTTGGATTTTGGTCAATTTACAATTTGTGATCTCGATGCCCTAGAGTGTCATGCAATACCTCTTTTTAGGGGTTTTCGAGGGCGGGGAGTCCATTTCTGAAGTTATTTTTTAGATATGGGGTCAAGGTCAAGGTCAAAATGAAGGTCAACGGTCAAAATAAGACACTTTAATGTAAATTCACTGTTCATAGATAGTAGATAGGCATATTTCAACGAGAAAATAGCAAACAGCCTTAAACAGTACACAATAAACAGTAGTTGTCACAATCCTCTATGACTCCTCATCCTCATTACTCCTCAATCCGCATCATCATCATTGTCATTGTCGTCATCTACACCTAGCTCCTCTTCATTGTCTTCGGTGTCCATCAGATTTTTCGTGAATTGACTACAACAGGCGACTCCTCCCTTGCACTTGCAATAGTCTGTGCATGAAAGGCCTGCACGGTTGCAGCTGCAACGTTCCCTATATGCCTATAATACACATTTCCATGAAAAAAGTTTAGAGTAATTAACATTGCAGGGTCCCATATAGGCCATATAGGGCCGGCAACCGACTATCACGGTTAGAGCTAAATGTCGCACTGCATTCAGCTACCGTACAATTCGCATCGGATAAATGCATTGATTCCCTCCCGTATCATTCACTATCTATCTGCCAACAGGGATCTCTGCTTCTATAATAGTTCACCGCGGCAACGGGTCCGGTTTCTTAGAGTAAAGCTTCGTGCAACTGCCGCCACGGTTTGTACACTGGCAGCACCGTCGAGGCAATGCGACCGATTGACCTATCCACCTGACACGATCCCTCCCCCTCCCGTGAATCTTAGCTTATACCGTTGCAAGATTAGTCAAGCTGGATCAGTTTATACGTTGTTGTTTTTCATCAAGCGTCCGCGCCACGCCGTAGATTTCGGAGGACTTCGTTACTGAGCAACGTTTTTTGAATGTCACTGTCGCAACGCTGAGTGCTTAGTTGACCTGTTGATCACTCCCGGGGCAGATATATTGGTCAGTTAGATGAAGCCGTGGCGTTAGGTTTAACTAAGCACCGGAACGCGTACGCACGGGAAATAATATTGAACGTAATTAACCATGTTGGCAGATGGATAGTTTCTGGCTATCGAATCCTCCGACGTGCATTGCTCCAAATTGCGTTTTGAAGCACCGAATTAAACGTTTATGTTGTTGATTTTGATTGATATTTTGGAGATTCAAACGGCAGAGATATCAATGCCATGACTTCAGGAGTGATTTTGAAACGAAGAGGAATTTCATTCGCTGTTGATAATATCGCGTATCTTAATTTCCTATTTGATACCGATTATTAAGATAAAAAAAACTAAAAATTAACCAAACAAAAACTACGACCACAGCGCACGCAATTATAGACCGTTCGACGTGGTAAGAGAGAGGAGAGAGAGAAGAGCAGAGAGAGAGAGAGAGAAGGGAGAGAGAGAGGAGAAGAGAAGGGAAGAGAAGAGAGAGAAAGAGAGAGAGGCAAGCAGAGAAACAGAGAAAGAGAGAGAGAGAGAGAAAGAGAGAGAAAGAGAGGAGAGAGAGAGGGAGAAACTGAGAGAGCGAGAGAGAGAGAGAAAGAGAGAGAGAGAGAGAGAGCGTCGCGCGCGATAATAAATAGAAAAACCCAATGATGTAAATATTTGAACGAAAGCTTTAGCTCGTTGTAGGTTAAACCACATGTACATGTCTCACAGACATCGCAAGAATTCCGGATTTAGAAGTGACGACAACGCCATCTGGCGCGTAACGTAGCATCACAGTGTTCGACCATTGTTTTTTGACAATTGTAAAGAAGACAACAATGTTTCTACAGAGACGAGGTTGCAACGAGTGTTTCTACACGCAGAAAACAGCAAAAGGGCCACAAAAGTGGTTTGTAAACAGAAAACAGAGCTGTTCTCTTACAGAGTAAAAAAGAGCGGAGAAATAGAGAGAGAAGAGCAAGAAAATCAGCAAAAATATTCCAACGCGGTTGTTCCTGATGACCTAGTCGTTTCCGTGGTAAACTACAGATCTCTAATGACGTCATGTACACGTCATTATGTATGTTTCACCCATACAGTACCATGAAACACTCTGGAGGTATCTAGTTATGCGGTTATCCAAAACTTTACTTAGGTTAAAACTAAGGGACAGACGTGATAACATTACTCGGTTATTTATTTATTTATTTAGAGTGTAAAAAAAGTGAGAGAGCAAAAGACAGCAGGAAGAGAGTGAGAGAGAGGGCAAGGAAGAGAGAAAGGAGAGGAGAGAGTGAGAGAGAGAGAGACGCGAAAAGAGAGAGAGAGCTAATAATTTTTAGTATGACGTACAATGATGTGAAATTGAAACTAAATAGAACTAAATGAATCAAATGTGTGTGAAGAAAATCATAAAATTATAACATAATAAGTAGATTCTGGAACATTATATAGCTGCTCGCACCTCTGACGCACATAGGTGTCGCGTCGGTCGCGCTCACGCATCCGGTGATTTTCTCATTTTCAGTTTCAAAATTTTAAATTTTAAATGCCAAATTTTTCTTGCTGTTCAAGATAACTGTACCGTACTGCTCTGTACTGTACTGTAATGTACTGGACCGTACCGTACTGTACTGTACTGTAATGTACTGCACTGTACCGTACTGAACAAACTGAACTGTAGGCCCTACTCGTACTGTACCGTACTGAACTGAACTGAATTAACGAATTGTACTGCAACTGTTTATCTGTACTACTGTACTGCTACTGTACTGTACTGTACTGTACTGACTTACTGTACTGTACTGTACTGTACTGTACTGTAATGTACTAACTGTGCTATACTGCTACTGTACCTGTACTGTACTGTACTGTACCTGTAGGTGTACTGTACTGTAATGTAATGTACTGTACGGCCATGTGCAGTTATACACTCACCCAATAGTGTAACATCGGCGCTAAATAACTACAAATTTCTCAGGAGTTTCTCTCCTCTTTGACAGTGTCTTCTCAATGTGTTATTATATTTTTTTATACTCCATTATTTTCTTCTGATTTGGAAAGAAATAATTGCATCTCTTTGGAATTGATCGTCCTAAAAAAAACTCTAATAGCACAGATGAGCATGGCCATCGCCATCTAGCAGCGCTCGTTCTTTTGAGCCGCGAAACCAAGTAAACAGCGCTTCAGGCGCTTGCGTATCTCTATTCGTCACCATGATTCGATGACGTAGTACGCGCCCCTGCAATCAGTGTGTGAACCCGCATCGGCGGCGCTCGCAACCAATCATGTTTGCGTAAATTCAAAAAAATTTTCTGAAATTGGAAAGAGTATTGACGAATAAATATATATAATACGACAGTGATAAAAACCTTAAAATATTTTAATGAATGGATAGTATACGACCTTAATTTGCATCTTGCCCTTTCCAGTGTCCCTGCTCCTTTACCTGCCGCACCCCACGCCTTCTCATCTTAATTTACCCCTTTCTTATTCCTTTTTTTCTTCTCCGCCAACTCGTCCTCTGTTCCTCGCCCTCCCCTATCCTTTCACTCTCGCTCTTCCCTCCTCCCCTTACTTTCCTTTCATCTTCCTTCTCATCGTGCCCTCCTCCTTATCCGCGATAATCTTATTCTCATGAGCCACAGGTAGGTGACGGTGCTCATTCCCTCTCCTCTCCTCCGCTCCCATCCTCCCTTCTTTTTATGCTCCTCTAACTAAATAATGATATTTCCGATAACATCATACAATTCACATACATAATCGACTCGTATCTTCTCCTTGCGCGCTACCCCTCATCCATCACGATTCTCTCTCTCTATTATCTCTTCTCCTCTGCTGCCTCCTTACTAGACATTTTTCAGAATGTACATCACATATGAATGTTTCCCTGTCCCTGTCCGCTACTTTGGTCTGCTTCCCCCCCTTCTCTCCTCCCCTCGCCCTCTCCTCTCCGTCACACGTCAACTGTTCCGGCAGACTTTTCTCTCATTCTCTGTTCTCGTTGTCAGTCCCCACAGTCCAGGCTCAGCCGTGAGGTTAACATATCCTTCCCTCCTCTCCTCTCCTTCCTTCCTTTCTCCTCCCCCTTGCCCTCCACTTTCCCCTCCTCCTCCCCTTGCCCCCACCTTCCCCTCCTCTTACCTCCTCCCCCTTGCCCCCCACCTTTCCCTCCTCCTCTCCTTCTCCTTCTCCCTCTCCATCGCTATCACTCCCGTACCGCCAAAAGACCCGGGCAGAGTGTGCGATATCTTGTTCTTGTTCAGCCACAGGTAGGTGAGGTTAGACATATCCTTCTCTCTCTTCCCCTCCTCTTTCTTCCTCCCTCTTGCCCCCACCTTCCCCTCCTTCATTCTCCTTCCTCCTTTTCCTCTCCCTTTCCCCTTCTCGCCCTCCCCTCGCCTTCCCTCACGTACCGTCAAAGGTTCCGGGCAGGATGGACGATATCTTGTTCTCGTTGAGCCACAGGTAGGTGAGATTGCTCATTCCTTTGAACGCTCCCACTGGAATCTCCGTCAAGTTATTCTTGTTCAGGTACAGCGTAGCGACGTTGGACAACTCGGCGAGCGCCCCCTTCGGGATTCGAACTATCTCGTTCTCGTACAGGTAGAGTACTTGAAGAGAGTCGCTCAGGTCGACGAATGCTTTACGGCCGACGTGCTGCACGCGACTGTCGATGATGTAGAGTTGACGGATGCTGAGGCCCCTGAAGGCGTGGTTAGGAATCTTCGGAACGTTGGAGGCGCGTATGACGAGACGTTCGATGGGGCTTGTGATGTACCGGCGCACGCGGGCGAGCACGGTTTCAAGATCCGTGCGCACGCATTGGATGTAGGTGCCGTAGAGCTGGCGGCACGTGCACGGGTGGAAAGCGCGCGTGTCATCCGGGCAGAAATTCTCGTCCGAGGCGTCGGTGTCGGCGACGGCGACGTTGGCGATGGCTGCGATGATGACGATCAACAGCAGCAGCGGCCTGCGAGAGGGATGCATCGTTGACGTTGCGTTTTTTTCCCGGATGTCCTGCTGCAAGAGGGGAGATGCGTTAGTGATGTGCGGCGCCACCTATGAGGAGGGATGAATGGTGTGTGTGTGTGTGTGTGTGTGTGTGTGTTGTGTGTGTGTGTGTGTGTGTGTGTGTGTGTATGTGT